TTTTTTTTTTTTTCAAGAGTTTTATTCTATTTCCTTTACCAAACAAAAGCATACTTTTCTTGGAATGGAAAGTGCCATCATGTTCATCTTCCTTAATTTCCAAATTGAGAAGTTCCAAGAATGGAATGGAGGTATATGTTGGTTTGGTTCAACTTTTGAAAAGATGTCATTTATTGTAAAATTTTAAATTTTACAAAATTATAAATTTTACAAAATTAATTCGAGATTTCGAAAGTATTTCTTTTTTAATAGTATATTTGGTTTAAGAAAAATACAAAGGAAGAAAAAGTAGGGATGGATGTTTTGATTAATTAGATTATTATATTTAAAAATATTATAATTTAATTAATTAAACAACTCATCTCTCTCCTTAAATCAAGCATACTATAAAAGTTCCTTTAACTTGTAAAAAGTTAGAACTTGAAACTATACATTTATAAATTTTAGAGTACAATTTTTGAATTTCAAAATACTCTATATATAATATTATAAACACTTATTTGAAATTTCTTAATTTTTATGTGAAAATAAACATAATATTTTTTTTGTTTAATTTTGAATTGCATAATTGGAGATAACTCTTTTCCATTCATTAAGAGACTACCATTAGTTTGGCCAGTCATTTATTTATAATATTTGCAATTTATATAGCAAGAAATTTTGAAAAAATGTTTCCACGAACTGAACCAAAATTTTGATTAACTAAGACCTATCCAACGAGATGGCCAAAAAAAAAAAAAAAGGAAGAAGACCTACCCAGCGCTCAATATTGACTCAAACCTGTAGAAATATAGGCACTTTGATTTCTTCTCTTCCACACACTTGCTAACACATAAGAGGATTTCATTCATTTCTAAGGTTCTTCCTGTTTCCCCCCTAAATAGGGAAATGGACCACTACTAACAACGGGTCTAAGTATTTATGTTGACAGAAGACTTGCAAAAAGGAAGAATTCTGATTTTTTGCAGAATTTTCACAATGCCCCCATCATAAATACAAATAGATGTTCCAGGCAGGCACATACCTAATGATTTCAAAGAAGAACCATATATGCATACCATCGCAAGTCAAGTCAGTTTAACAAAGACAAATTTCTGTCAAACTTCTTATTCCAAAATCGCGGCTAATTAAACAAACCAAATTAATTATGATATTAATTTCTAACCTAATACTACTAAAATTTCACATGAAACAGTTAATTTGGTCGGCTGACATCAAAATGACTTCACCCATATGAAACAGATGATGAGTCACCAATATGTTTACCATGGCTGGTTCAACCCAAATTAATTTGGCAACGTTTGGTTTATAAGGAGTTTTTGATTTCTAGTTCATACTTGGAATAATTTTCTGTCGTGCACGAGATAAGTCACCTTACAATGAACTAAGTTAAGTTAATGGGTGAAAACAAGAAAAATGAAAAGTTTAGAGGACTAATCCCATTTTTGTAAAAGTTTGATTTTATTGTGAAAATTAGGTTAAATACCCTTTTTGGTCCCTCTACTATTAAAAAAGCTCTTTTTTAATCCCTATACTAAAAAAATCTCATTTTTGGTCCTTGAAGTTTAAAATCCGACTCCTTTTTTGGTTCCTCCATTAAATTTTTGCTGATGTGATAAGTTAATTAATGAAAAAATTATCTTTTTTTTTAAATTACGTGAAAAATCCATTTGGCAAAAATTGATGACATGGCCAAATTTTTGGTTTAATATGACCTTAAAAATTATTTAATTACATAATTGCCATTATAAATGTTTTAAAGGTTATTTTGTGAGTATGAGTACTTGACTTTAATCACTAATTTGCCCTCATCTACTTCCCCCTTCCGTCTTATCCTCTCTTTCCTCCAGCCTTCGTTTTTTTTTTTTTTTTTTCGTTTTACCTTTGCCTTATGGAAATCAAATCTGGAAAGGCGAACCTAGGTGCCTGGGTTTGTTAGGTTTGTCGTGAACCAAGGAGCTTGATTCGTCGCGAACACAAACCCAGCCCTTGGGGTTTGTTGCCATCTCAGGCGCGAGGTTCGTCGCATGAATAAATGACAAATTGTAGATTCAAAATCTATAGACATTTACTTATCAGATTAATACTAATGAAAAAATGACAAACTCCCAAAGTTTGAAAAACACATTCACTTATCAAACTCAAAATGACAAAATTGCCTCTACCTTCATTTCCCTTAAATACCTTCTTCCCTAATGAACCCTAAATCTGGAATTCTTGCACCAGTCTACGAAACCTGGTTCGAGTGCCTATCTCATTTCTCCTTAATCAGTTCAACAAATTCCTTTAAAAAAATTTTAAAAACCTGGGTTCTTTTAGGAACCCAGAACTTGGGTTTCGCGAGGAACTCAAGATGATGAATAGGAAGAGGATGGCGAAGAGGATGGTGAAGATAAATGATGACATGATGATGCCAAGGATGAGGGTGAGGGTGAGGATGAAGAGAAAGAAGAAGATGAAGAAATTAAAGTTAATTATGTTTAAATTTATTTAATTCATAAATTAAGAAGTACAATTTTTAATTTGTATACGTAACCCAAAATATTTAGATCAAATGCTTACATGGATTAATAATTTTATCCAAATAATTTTCACGTCATTTATAATATCATTTATAAAAAAAATAATCAAGTGATTCTGTTAATTAACGTGACAAGTCAGTAAAAATTTAACAAAGAGATCGAAAAAGGGTTGGATTTTAAACTTTAAGGATCAAAAAAGGGATTTTTTCAATACAGGGACCAAAAATTGGCTTTTTCAATAATAGAGGAACCAAAAAGGATATTTAACCTGAAAATTACAATGGCAGATGAGTTTGCAACATTTTGAACATATGCTGGTTTTCTTCTACTTTTAATTGGTTTTAACTTAAAAGTTATAAACATGCCCAATTCAATTGTTTAGATTATGTGTGAAAGAAAAATGAACCCTTTTAACTCATTGAGAGTGGTTTAAGTAGTTAAAAAGTCATTTGAATAATATTGAAAATGTAGAAAATGTAGAAAATGTAGATTAAAATCCTTCCAATGTCATTTAACATGAAAACAATTTCAATGAGTCCACACTTGGAGGTAGGGTTTTATCTGATAGTTGTGGACAGAGCTGTTTGCAAATATTTATGAAATTAGTTAAGCAAAAAAATCTCTGACAGAGAAAAAAAAAAGAAAAAAAAAAAAGAAAAAGGAAAAAAAGTGAACCCTTAGCTGCAACATATAATGGTGCATCTTCCTTTGTCATGGTCTTTTTCATTTTCCTTTTTCCTTCTTGTGTGAAAGACAGTTGGTGGCTAAACGTCTAAACGGATGGCAAAATGGCATGCTGTTCATACCCAAAACGAAAAGGATTGATCTTTTTATTTCGTTCACTCATATAAATTTACTGTTGATCACATAATTAACTTGGGTTGATGCCATTTTTTTTCTTTGTGAGAACATTTACGTGGTAAAAATTAATCTTAAGTTCCAAAAGGTTGTTGCAATATTCCTATGCAGAGCTTACCTAACTTGAAAAAACACCATTTGCTAATCAACAATTAATACTAAAGCAGGTGATGGATGAGATTTCTCTCAACTTTTTGTGAGGGGAAAGGAACCATAATTAAAAACAAAAGTTTACAGTGCTAATTTAAAAAGTTGAATGCTTAAAATTGAAGACTCTATCTGCTATTCATCTTTGATTGATTTAAATTTGAAAAGTGCCCAAACCAACATCAATTAACTTCTCTATTTTATTTTTTTTACTCTAATTAACTGTAGTTTTCTCTAAAAAATCTTTTTAACACGTTTATTTATTGATTGATTTATACATTTCGCTTAATAAAAAGAATCAATCATATAATTACTAACTCATATGATTGAGAAATCTTATTGTATGTGTTACTATCATTTCTCTAGTAAAAAGTGGAGAAACTAGAGAATCATAAAACACATAAAAAATACAAGAGGAAAGGGTTAAAAGGATGAAGGAGCTGTGTGTTTATCCCCTGAAAATCCGGTCACGATTTGTTGTCTAGACTGAAAGCTTAATCTTAGTCTTGCATGATTGGAGCAGTGGGGTCAAGTCATCCATTTTTTCCCTGTCCAAAAACCAGAAGCAATTCTTCTCATCAAGCTAGGCTAATGCAGTAACT